CAGGAATGAGATTTTTAATTACACTTCATCACAACTGGTCACGTGGCAACTTAACTTCTTACCATGATACCTCATTAGTAAAGACAATGCTAAGCTCACAGCAGGAGACAGGAATAGTGATGATTAGCTGCCCCCTAATCCTAGCAGATCCCATTAGAGTATAAAATTTGAAGGCAAAAACAGTGAAGGCTAGCCTTACCAGTTCATACCCAGATATCTTAAGCATAGTACTCCATTAGCAGCCTGCAGCTCATCAGTGTGTTCTCAAAGAGGGGAGGTGAGATGGTTTTTTCTTGGGTTTTAGTTTTGTTTGGTTGGCTTGAACTGTATGTTTTCTTGAGCTCTTTGTAAGGGCAAGGCAAGTGTTAAATGCCTCTACATGAAAAAAATAGGGATCCAAAAGCACAGCTTACTGTTTACCCTTTCAGAGGTGAGGGAAAAAACCAAAATCTTAAGGTTTTGTTCAACTCAGGACAATTGATTACTACACTCAACAATTGGTTGCTTGTTCACAGATCCTAATAGCTTTGGAATGTTTACGGTGTAGAAGATACAGATTTCCCATATATTTTATCTTGTAATTCACACTGAATGGCTTTAACATCAGGACATGGTGTTCATAGTCAAGTAGAAAAAGATAGCAAAAATATTTCAGGCAAGTTCTACATGCTTTAAAGCTTGTCTTTTACATGATATGGCTCAGGCTTCCATCTAACTGGAAAACAAATTCAAGAGGAAGAACATGACTTTATCACGATCAAATAGTGACACACTGTTTTTGCCTTCTTCCAGACTGTCTGATGCCCTGGAAAACAATATGTGCCTTGGGTTTTTTTGTGTGCTAAAACATCTCACTACACAATAGTTCAGATTATTTTTTAAGGATCAACTAAGTCCATGTGTGAAGAGCATGCTGTGTCAGTGACCTGGATTTGCTCTTCACACTTTAAAACAGCTCTGCAGCAAATTTTGAAACAGAAAACAGAAGAAAATTGCTTGATGGCAGTGGTTTCTTAAGCTACTTATTTTAATTTACTTACCAGGAAGATTATGCCACTTGTTTACAGCAAATAGCCTATTTGCAGTAACTGTGATCACAGCAGGATTGGTCAGACCAGGCTGGGTGTTGGCTGCTACATGAGTGACAGGGGAGTTGGATGGGAACTTAAGAACCATGATAACGTCCTGTTGAGCTTGGTCTGTGAACATCAACGGACTCTGCAGGAGGAGATACTGTTGAGTACACACAAGAACCCAAATACACAGGGAAAGAAAACATGGGGAGGAGAAAAGAAGACAGGACAAGAGAAGGAAGATTGGATTAAAACATGCAAGATCCAACAGCAGCTGCAGTGAAAAGCAAATGCAGTAACAGTAGACAAGCTTGAGGCAACAACCATTTTAGGTAGAAAAAACTTCACATACACTATTAAGGGCCTTGTTGAACATAGGGGTGTCTATATAAAAACTCTGTAACAGATCACAGCAGATTAAACTCAAAGTTTCCAAACACCTATCTCTGCCAAAAAGAATTCCCCTTCTATCTGATGAGACAGTATGACAAGGAAAGCAATGCCAAATGAGGAGGGAAGAAAAACATTTTAAAAATGGGGGAAAAAATGAGGAAAAAAAACAAAACTGAGCAAAAGAAATTCCTGCTCCCAGAGATTGTCTCAAGTTGCATTAAATTGGCAGACTCCAATTCTTTACAAGCCAGATGAGAACATGAAAGCACATTAAAATAAACAGATACACACATACACTAGATATATGTTCTGTATATATTTCTGGTGTACAAAAATAAGATTTATGAATGCATAGTAGAAGACTTCACTGCAAATGTGTTTCAAAGGACAAACATAATTAAATGCAGTTGTAAAGAATATAAAGTGGACGTGATTACAGACACTATCCTGCATTGTTTCTAGAAATACTGGAGAGAGAATTCCTCCAGACTCTTGTTTCCAACATAATATTTTTAGCTCTTCGATTTTTAATCTAATAAGATTAAAAGTTTAATAACTTCTAAACAAAGTTCTCTAAAAAATACTGCAAATATTGAAACAAAATACCAAAGACCTTAGATCTGGATATAGAACACAAGAAGCAAAAAGCAGCCTAATGGGTTTGTGATTGTGTGGTGTACCCAAAAAGAACTCCATTGAGATATAGAAATACACCAGTTCTAGCTACCAGTAGCCATATTGCTCTAGTATTTGCAGTTTTCTAATAACTGAATTAGAACACTAACAAAGTGTTCTTGGCTATTTGCCACCTGCAATATTTCATTACATATATGTGTATGTAAGTGCATACATTTAATGTATATTTATACAGAACTAATTAAAAAATTAAATACATTTGCATTTTTATTATCACTCCTTTTAAAAAAGTTATTAAGAGTACTTAGAAAAACATATTGCTCTATGAATTCCTATTTACAGTCTTTGCATAAAGGTGTAAATAAAAGCAACTAATAAGCTACCCAGACACCCTTCTGAGCAAGTGGCTAAAAGCCAATCAATATTATGAGTTAATCCTCCCTGGATGCTCATTCAATTAAAGGTGTCAGTAATGCCTCATCTGATGTGGCCTCAATTAAATCCAGCTATCTGATGGTTGAAAACACAAGGGGATACAGCAACAGCAGCAAAACCAGACAAATAGGCAGCCTTCATGTGACTGCTAATTACTACACCTGGTGTATATTACGGCTTGTGCACTTAACACAGCACGTGGTAGCTTTCAATTCAGCTCTATTCATGCATACATGTGCACACACCCATGAAAACAGAAAACTCAGTAAATAATATAACCGGAAATAATTCAAAGTTGTGACAGGAAAAACATCCTTACTGTATTTAAGTTCCAGGAATGCTACTTTTAAAACCACTTAATATAGCGCTATTACAAAGCCATGTACTAATAACCACAAAACTGGTCAAAGCAAGTGGAGAACTAAGGGGTTTTTACCACATGTACTCCAGCCGAAAAAAACACAGGAGTTACAAACAGTTAATTCCTAGAATTTAACTTCTTCCATTACATACTAAATCTTTACTAATTCAGCATAATGAAAAACATTATTATAAAACCACACAACCTGCTTCCTGGCATCAAATTTATTTATATAACAATGGGTCTGGCAAACGTGTCAACAATCAACTTCTCAAGTTCCTCCCCTTCCTGAAACAAATCCCTCTAAATTAGGGCAAGTGTCTAGTGCATGGCACCGTGACAGACAGACACACACATGGCATGTAGCTGTATGATGAGGGCACTTGGGCTCCCCAACACCCCTGTGAACGGGGCTCTGCTGAAAGAGGGTGCCCTTGGGTTGCGCACCCAGGTCACTGCAGTGCTCTGCAGTCCCAGGTCACTACGTGGGAGGTGCAATAGGCCAGCAGGTCACAAATCAGCACAGCCAGCTCTGTCCAGCCAGTACATGGGATCCCAGGGCAGGGGCATGTCTACAGCACAGCTGTCCAAGTGTGGCAGGTACTGGCTGCAGAAATGGTGGGGGAGTGGGGGGATAGTCAGCTGAGCAAGTCTCATGTTCAACACATGACATATTTGAGAAAGGTTAGTAGCTCTATTTGACAAGAAAGTTTACATTTCTTAGACTCCTGCCTCACCAGGTTTGTAAGCTACTTTGGAACCATTTCAGATTTTTTGTGTAATTTTTCTAAAACCTTTTGCACTTCAGATATGCTTTTAACCTAATCACCTTAAGTCTGTTTGAGGACATACATCTTAGAGATCACACAAGAAGAAAATGTCTTTTTTATAGCTATATTTCAAAATAAAATGTCCATCTTAACAACAAGGGAATGTAATATTTTGAAAAACTTGTGAATTAGCAGACCGTTTGCTCCACTTGTCTGAGTATCACTTAACATACTTAGTTCCTGGAGCTATGACAACACAAATGATATTTTAGACCCAAGGACTGCACACAACATGATATGGAAAGTAATCAGTAATAAAATAATACTTTGCATAATAAAATTATATTAGACACAGTAGAGGTAAAAGGGAAAGCATGTTAATGCTCACTGCCTGGATTTTATCACCCTGGCTTTACTGCAAAACACATTTAGTCACATTCTTTGCTATGTAAGTTTCAGCTCATGAATTCCTAGTAATCCTGGTTTTAGGGGAAAACCTATGCCTGGGGGAAAAGACAAGGAAGTTCCACCTCCTAAATCCATGCTTCTTGGGGAATCTGCCAAAGATTAACTAAATTGTCTCCACGATGACTGGCTCTCACCTGTACAGGTATGGTATTAACAAAATCAACTGATGAAGTGTTTTTAGATTACACTGACAAAAAAGGTCTGTACTAGAAATCAATACAATCCTTTCAGCAATAAATAAAATAATAGTTAAGCAATGCATACACTCCCAGTCCTCCAAAATCATGCCCCATCTGCTGTTTTTAATAACACAGTTCCATGACCACATAAAAGGAAAGCGGAGTGGCCAGTTCTGTAACTTTAAGATAGCAAAGGAAGTGAACAAAAAGGCAGGTCACAAAGAGTTAACATGGTACTTACCACCTGCATGGCAGAACTTCTTGGAGGATGTGGTTCTATGAGCAGTTGGGAAGGGGTCTGTCCAAAACTTCGTATTTGAGCTTCAACAGCCTGGAAAAGGCACAGGCAGGTTTGCATGTTAAGAGGTGCTAATTACAGGCAATAGAACCATAACTGTCACCTGAAAATGTCATTCCACACTTCTGGCTTGTTTCATGTTGAAAATCAACCCCGTGTGTTCACTGTGGGCTAAGTGCTTGGCACTGGTACTAAGAATGAGGTAATCATTTTAGTACTGTGGATGCTATTTCCATGAGAAACTCTGCAAAACCTCATCCTGCTCAATGATATTAAACAGAAACAAGCTATTATAATCAGAAACCCTCTTTATTGGCTCCATTTTTCCTTTCTAGCACTGACTTATCCTGTTTGTATCATAACTCAGAAACAAAAGTTAATTTTTAAAAAGTTTCTATGGGTATTAAGTGATCTACTTTCTATTTAAACTCCATTGCTTAGTTTCACAGTAATAACTCCAATGAAAAGCGACCCTGAGCTTTTTTCATTTTATTCAAAAGGAACAAACGTTAGGATGCATCAAACTGCCAACAGCAGGACTAATACTAAATGCAGAGAAAAGAGAACACAGGGATACAATGCAGCCATTTTTTTAAAAAAAAGTTTCTCTGTATCTCAAGCAACATGCTTGGCCACTTTCTTTATAGGGCATACATGAAAATTACCACTGCACACTTAGTGATTTCTTAAAAATAATTATTTTTAAATGTGTGAACTTATTATACCTCTTGCCTTGGCATGTCAAACTAGTTTTCCATGTTGCCACTTGTAGGTCCACTGGCTTAAAGATAAAACCAAGCAGCCAAAATTCAACACGTATTTCTTGTCAGCCAGGCCCCTGAACTACACACAGAAACAGGCTAATACCACAGAAAATCTTAAATCATTCAGCTTAGATTAAATCTCTTTCATTTTGAGCTAAACTAAGTAAATAACCTGCATTCGCTGTGGGCTAACAGATTGCACATGGGCTCTTATTTTAGTTTATCTTTTGCATGGTGCATTAAGCCCTACATTCTCATGTCTAGTGATGCTGAGTACCTAAGGTGAGACACTAACTAGCAAGTCTTACTTTCAAGAGAAGTCCTGAAAATCAGGCCCTTCAAAAAAGTGTTTTAAATGGGACGCTTGAACGCTAAAACACAAAGCCACTAGCCACTTTTTAGGTCTTAGTACACCATGTTTTTCTCTCAGAGATTCATCTTTTTCGTGGTTCAACACACCTTGAGGTTCCTTACATTTATATTGCCTGTTCTGTTTTAGCCACCCATTAAAATTTTTGAGACAATGGAATAACACTAATGTTGATCATATTCTTACAAACAACTATTTTTAGATTATTACTAGGACAGATAATATTGCCCTGTTACAGAAATAACAAAACCAAAAGCAGAGTGCACCTGAGGCCTTAAGATCATAAAAAAATAATCATCCTCTGATAGGAGATATGCCATCCAAAACACTTGACCTTGGTACATTTGGCAGGGCTTTTGCAACAACTGAACTCACCAGAGCAAGAGTTGCAATTACTCTCTAACATTCTTACCCACTCAGGGAAGTACCTTTAAAAGATTGCTGAAATTTGACACACAAACACTGGGATTCACCAAGCACTTTTTTTAAGAACAGCAGTATCATGAAACACTAAAGCTCAGTAAGACCGTCAAAGTCTCACTCTGAGTGATGAGGCATGCTACATTAAAATTCAAATCTGGGTTTTTGTGACTCAAGATATCAAGGGAATCACCAGGGCACAGAATCTGAGGTCCCTTAAGACACGAGGCATTAAGAAAGCAACAACAGACTGGTCAGCAGTTCTACCCTCTCCATAAAGAGCTGTGAGTTTCAAAACATGCAGATTAAAAAGGATTGCCTACATTTACTTGCAGATTGAGTGGAATATTTTTACTAGCAAATGGGAATTCTGCATTGCATTGACGGTAGAAGTACACAGGAGAAGCAGAATGCAGACAGTTATGCATATTAGATATTCTGTGCCTGTTAAAATATTTAGGATTTGCTATTTATTTCCTCTAAAATATATATCCAATAAACTATTGAAAATTAATAAAATATTCTTGAAATACAACTCCGATGCAGTTCTTTTTGAGCTGAAAATAGAATAGATAAAATGAGGAAACAAAAAGCTTCAGATTGGGTAACTTCCATGTACACTGATTTATTATCAATATAGAAACTTCTATTCCCAAATAACTCACATTCAGCATTTAAAGGCAGCCAGAGTTTTGGGTTTTTTTTCATGAAATCTGTTATGTCCTTTAACTCCCAATGCCACCTCTACAAACTATACCTTCTTACATAGTGCCAGTACTAAGAAGGGGAAAATTAAACACAAGATACCACATGTTTATGCAGAGTGTTTCAAATACTTCAAATACATTCATCATAACAACAGAACAAAGTGATGTAGGATGAAAAATCAGATGTTATCATTGCTTTAAGCAATGAAAGATCAGCAGTCAGAATGTTATTTCCACAGTCCAGATCTCAGAGGAACTCACCACCTTCCAGCAACATAAAAAAACTGTAAGAAACATTATGATTCCACTGCTTACTCACATATGATGCTTATCATTATCACATTGCTAGACCACACAACAGCAGCAGCAGAGCAGCTATTTGTCTCCCACCACCCCTCAATGCAAAAGATAATCCCTCTGAGACACTTTAAAAAGTATAAAATACTCTATTCAACAAGCAAGTAGATAGTCTCTGCCTGTTTTCACATCAGATTCTGTCAGAACTGGTGAAACTGCTGACCAGTGGGACAGGGACTTTGCCAAAGCCTGCTTTAGAGGACTACAAATTCTCAGGTTTTTTTGACAGTTTCTACATCCATGTTTATGATCTAGTTTGAGTTTGGGATTTACAGTTTTGGCACAAGTAAGTCTTAGTCTCTTTAAGTTCCATCTGGTCCTTCCAAAAATTTGAGAGCCTACAATTCCAGGATAGCTCCTTGACACAGTCATTCCCTTTTAGTTGAGAGAACTGGGAAAATTATACATTCATGTTTTACCACAGGTAACAAAGTTGCATCTCTATGTCCTCTTTATTGATGTCTTCAGAGATCCAAAAGAAATGTGAAAAACTGTTAAGGCAACAACACTTGGACAGTTATGTCTAGAAATAATGGCTAGACTTCAGCATAAAAAAACATTTGCATTCCTTTTAATTACCTAGAAAAAAAAAGTAACTATTTATTTGGCTTCAACTATGACTTGGAGAGTATACTAGCAAACTCAAATTATTCCCTCCTTTTCCCAGACTGTATTCAAAGTCAATCCAGATGTCCATTCCATGTTCTGATGATATCTCTGTTGGAAGCATCACATACAGAAGGATGCAAGATGATCTCCCTCTGTCAGCAGAAGCATTTGATGGTGGAGCTAGAGACAGTACCCATTCTCTCAATTTACGTAACAACAGAAGGATAAATACAGGACATTTTAGCCACCAGATGTCACTCAGACTTGTTCAACCTGTCAAAGATGATCAGCTAGGAGCAGGGAACCTTCTCCTCAGAGAGATAATTAATATCTCCTTTAAAGAAAACAACCTACTGCTTACCTGAGAACATACAATAAAATGACCATCAGCCAAAAAGTCATTAACTCACTTTCCTACCAATTGCAGCCCAGCTTCTAACTTAATTTTCTTGTAAAATGTATTCCTGGCATTAGTTGGCACTACTAAGAGATGGCCAGCTTCTTCTAGTGGCAGCGGAAGTGCATGTTCTCACATTGTTGAATCCCTCTGGAGGATACAACTCTTTAAGGTTACTGCAGGTAGAAATATTTGGACAGCTTATGACAACTAGTTTAACATCTCTTAAAGGCACTATATAACTGGAAAGGAATAAGGTTTGTTTGAAAGTTATCTTTAGTTCCACAAACTCTTATCTCTGAAAGCACGCTGCATACCGCAAAGTAAAAGATAGCATCATTCAACATTTTGTTTCACTGCTTCTCAAATATCTCAGTAAAATAGCCTTCTTCCTGTTAATCCTCTACAAAAACAAAACTTTGGTAAGGCCAGAATTGTTCCAGATGCTACAACAAGAAGTAATAAAATGAAACAAGGAAACTAACCCTTTACAATAATTCACACAGTATGCATCTCAAACCACATACTTATATGATAAATATGGCATTTCAAATGTTAATTAATTTATAAGTATGAAAATTATAAGCAAATTTTATGAGTTAACATTTATCTGATTACCAGAGTAACCTGTTCTTAAAAAGTCTCCTGGATCATCTTTTTTTTTTTTTTTTTTTTTTTATGAAAATTATAAGCAAATTTTATGAGTTAACATTTATCTGATTACCAGAGTAACCTGTTCTTAAAAAGTCTCCTGGATCATCTTTTTTTTTTTTTTTTTAAATTGGGGATGGGAAGGGGAGAAGGAGAACAGGGAAACAAATTAAAAGAGGAAGAGTGAAAAAATTGAAACTTTGGCTTAGCTATAATGTAGCTTTTGGCCACTCTTAGCACAGACATTTTCAGTCTCTGAATTTACTCTCTAATCTAACAGTGAAGAAAGTTAATTCAAGAGTATGCAGTACCCACTAAATACAGCTGTAAATTTTTTGGGGAAGGAGGGTGGCGGGGAGGTTGAACATATGGATGCAGTTAAGGTAAAAACAGATGTTTGTTACTTTTCTTTGCAGCAACACTCAGAAACTAAGTCAAAATTGCTTTTTTTCCATGTTTATGTCTGAAAGAACTATAAAATTAAATATGAGGGGGAGTGGGTGGAGAGGGAAGTGCAGTGAGTGTCACAGAGAAAGAATGAAATGGTCTCCAATTTTGAACTCAAATTGTGAAATGAAGGCCCATACAGTTAAAAGGCAAGACATTCACCAATTAACCCTAGATTTAAAGACCCTTAAAGAGACCAGCTCAGAATTGCTTTCATCATGCCTGCTCAGACACAAACCAAGTGTCTGAAGAGCCTAACAACACAGCATACCCATGTTAAAATGCACACCTCAGTCTGAATGCATGACAAG